GAGAAAGGAAAAATTTAAATCGCATCATATGACCCCTTTAAGGGTGATAAACCGAGCACCTATATGTTAAAATGTTTATTATACACATTAGCGTTATTTAAAAGATTCCTGGGGGGAAAAAGGAATAAAACTTACCACTGAAGTTTAAGTAAAACACTGTGCTCCCTCTCCTAAGATGTGTTCGTCTGATAAAAACGTTTACAAATGTCACGCTGCTGCAAATATTAAGGTTCTAATGGAAACCTGATCCAAGAATACCTATTATTCACCATTATTATTGTAATATGTGTAATATATTATTGTAATGTGTTTCGAATCTGTTGGGACTTGCTATTAAGTTATGCCTGAAAATAATGCGCGCGAAACACCGGCAGGACAGTTAAAATAACCACAAGATGGCGCTATTGGCGCCTTTTTAATAAGGATGATTTCTTGTAGTTTCATCTTGGCGAGTTTTTAAATTATTATACAAAATAAAGCCGTTTTTTACTAAATATACCTGTTAATTCATTTCAATTTGATCATTCACAAATAATACTACAATTATGTAAGCTTCTGATCACACAAGGGAGATTAAGTTTCTAGTTATGCGTCACGGGTTTGTCCGTTTCTCAATTTTTTTATTTTTTATTTTTTGTATTGTTTTGTTTTGTTTTTAAATCAAGGCGGGTTTAGTTATACAGTTACACAAGGAAAAGAAAGCAGTATCAACACCAGCCTTTTTTGTACCGTACAAAACACACTGTAGACATCCAAGGCATACATTCTAATCTAAATTTTTTGCTCTTGCATTAACTAAATAAAATAAATAATAACGTCAAACGACATTATTGGCTTTGGGTGTTTGAAAATCTGTTAAAATTTGCCGTGACAGCAGTATGACACAAACAGTCTTCGTTCAATCGAGTTTTTGTTTGCAAACAACGGCCAGCCACATGGAAATTCTCCCGCAAGGAATTCTGGGATATGATGTTCTTTTTCTGCGCTGAGGGAGTGGTGTTTCGTCGACAGAACTACATTTCCCTTGAACGCCCTGCAGAACAGCTGACAAAACAGAAGCTCAAAGCCAGTGTGTGCATTCTTTGTGCCAGAACACGCAGAGAGCGATTATGAAACGGACGATAACAAAGAAAACTTCACAGTGACAACACAAGTGCTCACGCTTATGGATCTCTCCCTCTCTCTCTCTCTTTTTTTTTTTTTAGAATCAAGTGAATTTGTTTGTTCGCATTTGCTTTTAAGGATTTTTAACCCTAGCTAGCCTATTATGTTTGATGTATTTCAGCAAGTTGGTCTCCTGGGAATAAGGTGAGAAAAATAATGCAGAACTTTTATCTGAACAAATTTAATGATTGAGATACGATTTATTGAGATACACTGAATGCATTAACGCTACCATGTTATTGTCATGTTTGTTTATGGCGCATTAACAGTCTAGGAATTCGTATATGTCTACATGTGATATATATAATTTATTTATTTAAAAAAA